CCATAAGTATTTTACATGTATTTCCTCCATGCTAACTGCATAAAGTTATAAAACAAATATAGTTCCCTTTGAAATTTACACAACCTTAAACAAGACTGTAATAGTTAAACACTACTAGTTAAAAGAGTAGGCCTAATTAGTAATTAATTCTTAAATTATAAAATCTAGCTTTTGCACTTACCAAAATTAAGTTCAATCGTACGTAAATAATTACCGGAACTTAATACATAATGTTCAAATAAATGATATACATTCATATAGACATATATTTTTATTTTAAATATTATATTACTGTACCGTACCTTATATTTTACGTCCAGCATTTGACCAATATAATCAGATTATTTTACATGTATTTTATATCTATAGGCCCAATTTATAGTACCGCACATAATGGTTGACATATTTACTTCATTCTATAGTAGAACTTGAAACTGTTTTTTTTTTTTTTACATTGTGTGGTTGAATATACTGTAAGATAAAGAATTTAAATATACCTAACGATGAGGACTCAAGCGTGTTATACAGGGCGACCGAGGTTCATCAGTAATTTATGAGTACTAATAAATAATTTAAGTTCATAGAGCATCAATCTATTTATAAATATAATAAGTATAACAAACTTCTGAGAAAACTGTAAGCCGCACACCTATCAACCGCATCCTTAAATCAAAAACCTTGACGTTAAACTTCCCGCTAAATATCAGATTCTTGATAAACCCTCTCCTAAGGGCACAAACCTTAATTAATTTGTTTAATACGTTATCGCATAAAACAAAACGTCAGTAAGGAGATTTGTTTATTTTATAGTTTATATACTTTTTCCCAGAATAAATAATTTGAGTCTCATTACTCATTAGTGAAAAAAAGTTTTAAGCTAGTTTTTCTTTATTTGTTTAATAGACAGTAAAACTAGGCATGACAGTTGTTCCTTATATGTAATATACCCTCTTGTTTTAGTCATATATAAACATATACATCCAAAAGGAATACAACGTGAATATATGTGTATCAAACTTGCAACATAATCTTAATAGCTTTTTATTTTTATGTTTAATTTGAGACAAACCTACAACTAATAGGTATAATCTGATATTATTTAGTCAGTGTGAAGTTTTCAACTATAAGATTAGTCAGTTGTGATTTAATGATACTAATATTATAAATGTGAAAGTTTGTGGGTTTGTTTGTTTGTTTGTTCGTTTGTTTCTTTGTTAAAATATCAATCACACATTTACTACTGGTTGGATTGGGCTGTAATTTGACATGATAGCTTTGATTCCCGATTAACTTAAGCTTATTATTATCTTAAACCCCCTTTCGGGCTCCACCCCAGTGGCCATGGAATTTCCCATATTACCTTTATGAGTATTCGTACTTAAAAATAATTAAAGAATTTTGTCAGCTGTTTCGACTATGCTATTCAGTTCAGCTGTTCAGGTCAGCTGTTTCGGTTCTATGATATCCAATAGAATTAAAAGTTAAAAAGTTTACCAACAGGGCCGCTGCACTAATTATCTTTTGCATTATTTTATGAAAACAGCCAATTTGATCTAAGCAGCAACAAAAATCTGTCCCACACAATGAGAACTGTTGTTTGCATAGTCATAAACAAAAAGGTAAAGTAAACATAAATTAGAAAACTTCAAGCATCCACATTAGAAAACTTCAAAATCCATTTGTGTCACCTGTTTTGATTTAGATTGTAATACTTTGTTTTTTTTTACGCTGTATGATGGTTATACCATCGCAGGCGAAGTCACGGGTACAAGCTAGTTACTTATATAGAAACACAAATACCTTTTTCCTAATTTTCTAATAACATTTGACCAATATAATCAGTTTATTTTACATGTATTTTTAAATATACCTAACGATTCTAGAATTGCATAAATGTGTAATTATAAATCATAAATATAACAGAATTTATATTCGCACAAATGATATTTTAACATCTAATTCAGCAAAAGACATTTCGCAGACAAAGATTTTAAACCCGGGGTTTGGTTTTACAGCAATGCACAGTAAAATCCAGGGTAGGATGTAACAAGATTACAGGCTCCATGACAATATACTGTTCCTAGCAACATGGTTAGTACTTGTCACTCAAGCCTAAACGCCAGCTGCTCTTAATTAAATAAGAATATTAAGAGGACTTTGACAAATTTGAATACCCTTGCCGCAGGAACCTGCAGACTAATTAATAATAGAGAGAATATAATAGAGAGTATAGTCAAAATATTCAATAAGCTGCATCATAAATCTTTAACATAATGCATATGTACATAAAGAGGTGTTAGGGATCTTAAAAGGGTTTTACTGACAAAAGTGCATATACTATTATTTTATAAAGAATCGCCCATTGTAATTTATAGGTTATAGTTAAATTAGTTAATCGTTCAAATTATTGATCCAAAACATTGAGTGCAAAACATTTTGTTTATTTTCCATATCATTAGATTATCCTTGAAAGACTATTTTTGTGTTGATAAAAACATTAATTTCTTTTATTTAAATTTTTTTTTTATATAATTGAATTTAAAATATTTTTGGAAAAAACCTGGGAAAAAATACAAGAGATGTATAAAACTCGTTTATACTTATCGCCAAATAGGTTGGTGGGGCGAAATAAGTGTTACTCCCTAGCACTAAATAAAAAAAATTTACTAAATATTTTGTGCTTACATATAATAGTATATCCTATTTTATTTAAGTAGATACGATAATTAATCAATTTTAAAGTTAGTAAATAAAGTAACTAAGAAAATTTTCTTTTTAGTGTTGCTTGTAAAATAAACAGTTTTGCTTTTGTTATAACAATGTAGAGCAAAATATATCAGTAAATTTACCAGGAATTGAAAAAAAAAAATCTAGATGAAGAATGCTAAATTGTTGCTGATGTAATGCTAATTTATAATTGTTTTCACTTATAATCTGACCGTCATAACTATAACCATTGTATAAATAAGCATGGTGCTAAGAGCTTGAGATAAATAAAACATAATATGTATGGTTAAATTATAAAACATTTTAAGGAAGAAAATAGTTTTTTTTTTCGCATTTAATTATGCAACCTATTGACATTAGTATTGGGACAAATAAATTTTAACTTAAATCATATATAACAATTTACTATATTAATTCAACAACAAAGTTTGTATTATTTACACGAAGTAGAAAACAACTACAAAGTCCAATGTTTCACGATTTCTGAAGCATTTTATTGGGAAGAACTTTGGATATCTTTATAAGAAAACATAGCTATAAATGGAAACGTCGCTACAGAAGTGCTTCTAGAACATTAGCTACGAAATATTTGCAATTGGGAAAAAGCCTAAGACCCTCTTTTTTACAAGTATATATTCATGGTAAACACTTTAGTTGTCCAACATCTTTTGTCACCTTTCTTCCTTTAGCCGGAAAATATTATTGCCTAAGTAAACGGAAGTTATTTTAATATTTTATAGAAATAACGAGTGTCAATAATCTACAATATTTTGCAGTTTGTGTTATACAGATTTTAGCTGAAGTACATTAAATATTTTAAAAACTACTATCGAATTTGTCACCTAAAAAAGTGTTAAAGATTACTTGACATGATCAATAAGTTGATCTTGAACAAAAAATATTACAACTGGAATTGAATCACTTTCTATGGAGAATCCTGCATTATGACTAAGTATAAGTAGAATTTTTAATATAAAAATGAGTTTGTATTTAGCCTTTTACCATAAAAATGAATACTTCCACTATCCACATAATCCATTATTCCAAAGGGTCAAAGTAAAAAAATCACAAACACACGCAAATTTTAATCGTTCAATTATTGTATATAATTACTGGTAGACATAGAAAAATCGCTTGTAGGTTAAGCATTACTATTGTGGTAGAAGATATAACTACTTTAGTTGGAAATCAAAGCTTGCAATTGACGTTGTTAATTTCACGCATAAATGGTTTCAGTGGAACGTGAATGAAACAGCATTGCAATTGGTTTTAGACATCCCATGAGAACCGTCTGTTAATCATTGAGAATATCGCATATAAATGTTATAAAATTCGTAGTTTAGATCGTTAGTAAACAATGAATATAAAACAAGTGTTGATTTTTTTTTGTGATGCAATATTCTTTATTATGTACCCTCAATTTTTTCTTGACATGTCTTTACATTTAATACCAACTTGTGATCTACGTACAAGAAGGAACAATGGAGAAACCATAAAATACATAATAATACCGACCATATTTTAGATGTTTGGAAAACTAATAAGATGTTCTTATTGTTTTACTATTTTTTTTTTATAATTTTTGTAAGTCCAATGTTTCTGGAACGCATAAATATTTGTACGTTTGAATTAATACAAATAAATTGAAAAGGGGGTACTCTGTTTTAGTTTAAAACGAGAGCAAATATATTCATTGAATACCTTAAAGGTCTTTTTTTGTCCTAGGACACTAGGCACGAGCCTGGGATTGTTTTTTTCACATTACTTCAGGCTAGACCTAAGGTTTGCGGCAATATCACTTAGATAAAATCCATTGGTGACATGGTAGGGATCGAAACCCGGGACCTCAGGGGCTGAAGTCCGCGCTCTAGCCACTACGCCAGCTCGTGCCTTAGAGGTCCTTAACAAATATGCTAACGATTACACAAAGAAGTATTTTATAAATATTTTCAGCAATTATGTATAGCTGTATCTTTTAACTCCCATATGGGTAAGTTACTTGAGGTAAGTTATTCCATGCGAATAGATTAAATAATGTTATTAAGTCCACACAGTATTCAAGAAATATCTTAAATTGATTTATTGTTTGGTACCCAAGTACTTTTATTTTCGATCAACCACTCTGAGTATTGAGCAACCGTGCTGTATTCGGTTTTAAAATGCTTTGGCCCTAGGTTCATAGTTAACTACAACATATGATTTCAACCCGTCAGTTTTCAATAATGATCAATGGGTTTCCTTCTACACAAAAAATAAATAAACAAACATCTTAAAAACAAATAAATGTATGTATTTTCTTATAATGTGATACAATCATGCCTGACATTACCTCATAGAAATTGAAATAATGTCTGGAACGGAGCTGTGAAGTTTTCGCTTCAAATCAAGCTCTTCCTTAAGTTGCAGATAGTAGTTGTACACACAGAATGTCATGTATGCTCGGATACCTAAAACACATTTCATTGCGAGTAAATGAGAACTCAACACAAATGTTATACTTACTGTAAACGTGCTTCACATCGGGTAGAAGATGTAGGCAAGAATAATTTGGTATTTGGTTTTTAAAGCAATGTGAAAAGTCACACGACTAATATAATAAAATCACCAATTACCATTATTTACAAAAATTGACTTAAATTGCTTCATTATCACAATAAAATTAACGAATTCCCCTAAACATGAGTGGCAAAGTAAATGATAATTTGTAATAGGCTATGTAGGAATTAGAAACCTATCTTTTGTTATTTTCGTTATCAACATTTAATCTTAAGAGTCCCTCTTCAAAACCGAAGTCGTCCAAGGGGCATGGGCTAAGAGAGTTCAAGTAGCCTACAAAAATTAATCCTTTATACCAACCGTAATAAGTAAACATTTTTTAGGAAAAATCCATCTCATTTTGCAAAATACAATATCCTACTTTAGCATAATATTTAATCCTTATACATACCGATGAATATGAGAAGAACTACTGCAGCGAATACTTGGACAGTAGTTGATACAGAAGGGAAGCTGACGGCAAGTAGCACATCCCCCACCACATCAGATAATATCAGTACCACCCCTACTCCTGCGCTCAGCAGAACTAGACCAACGGTCTTCTGTAAAAAATATCAAAAGGGTTAGACTGTGGAATAAAACAAAAAAATCATATTTACTTTTCTGACTAAATATATATATATATATATATAAATTGCAAAAAAAAAATGCATTTAGACTACCGTTGCGTGGATTGTAATCTTATCGTTAGGTCTTATTGTTTAGGTGCAGTGGTAGAACATTATGGCTATAGTAGATGTGCTATATTTTCTCCTTTTGTAAACTCAAAACCAAGTATAACTGCAATAAGCATTTTATACTTATACGCCAACCCCGTACGAAGGATGGGTACTCTGCTAGTGATACAATATAGACATATGTTATGTAACGTGTTTATATAGAAATATGATCCCACAAATATTTTTTATTGAGTAGAACCTTTAAAAATTTTAATCAGGCCAGAAATCAAATTATACAGTTAAGTAGCAATATAAAAACACGTTAAAGATCTACAACTATGCATTATCTATATTATAAAGTTGACTCATAACTCTAGTTTTAGAGTAATCAAATATTTTTCAAAACTTTAAAGAATTTTTATAAAAGAACTACTCACATACTTGATTCCGTAAACCAGTACTGCTCCTTCAAGAAGTTGAACAATTGTGAATGTAAAATCCAGCCATAACGCAGTTTTGTAGACACCTAGAATATACACATCAGTAGTGACAATAGGGCAAAGAGTCGTCACTTGGGGCGTTTTTCCCCATAAGAATAACATGGGGATCATTTTTTAGCCACTTTTTCAAAAATCCTGATCTTTTCCTGTACACCCCTATATAAATGTTCAATACCATTGTACAACTTCATTACTATTTTAAATCCACATCCATTCACATGTATGTTCTCAAAATCATCAACTTGACAGTGCGAGGTTTGTACGCGAACTCAGGCGCGCTACTGGCTCACGGCGCACTCCCTTGGACATCCTTAGTGGAAATCCATGAGTTCTGGCTACTTGGGAATCCAAGCCATTTGACATACAACGAATCACCCTTTCTCCTAATTACCTTCTCTACCAAATACATGTCTTTATACTTGGTCTTTAACAACTCCTCTGTATAGAATCCTCCCCTGATTATATTGCCATTTTCATCTTTCAAGATATAAGTCACAGGCTTTGTATTCTTAACTTCTGCTATTGTAAATAGCTCCCCTGTCCAATTTGGGGTATATCCTTTACTAAAAACATGTTTATACTTGGAAATCCTTACGCTATCACCTACCTTATATCTTGGCTTTTTAACTTGCACTACTTTAGAAGTCAACCTCTCATGCACATATTTACTATTCTTAATATTCATTTTTTTAGGCTTCATTCCTATAGATCTATGCACTTTATTATTATATTTTCTAATTAACTTTGGAAGTAAATCCAACCATTTATAACTCCCCTGAGCACTAAATTCCCTATATAGCCAATTCTTTAAAGTTCTCTGGAACCTCTCCACAATTGCAGCCTTAGTTGTAGAAAATGTGTGATAGTGATTAATATTTAAGTTTTTCATTAGTTTGCTAAAATATTGATTAAAAAATTCTTTTCCATTGTCAGATTGAATGTTTTTAACCCCCTTTGGTAGAATGGTTTTAATGGCTTCTGTAACCACTAACCCTCTCTTATTCTTTAGTGAAGCAGCATACACTTTTTTAGAAAATGTATCTATTAAAGTTAAAATATATTTATTGCCAGAATTTTCTCTAGCATAGTTTTGCATATCAATTAAATCTATTTGTACGGTTTCGTTTATACCCAATACTTTAAAAGACCTTCTAATGAAATTCTTTCTTTCAGGCTTATGAAGTTCGTATGCAATTTCATTCATTTTTTATAACATCATCCTTTCCTGTAACTCTAAATACATCACCATTAGCCCCAATCAATAGATTATCTTCCATTCTTTTAAATACATAGTTGTCTGGTATATATGGTCTATTATCTATATACTTAAATCCACTTAAAGATGTGGGGTCAGCAACTAATAAATCAGGATTATATTCCATCAAATTAAATTTTTTTTCTCCATATACAAATTTTGATCCATCGTAATGCATAGATTGTGACATTAGACAAATATCATCCGAATGTTCCCCTTCTGGTAGATTTCTTATGAATTGATTTTTGGCATCCCAACAATGTAGTTTTTTATTATAAGTTATAGTCTGTTCTTTTGTAACACAGTCAGTGTCATCAATGGCTGGTTTAACACGTACTAACCTTTTATTATTAAAATTCCAATAGCCTACTTCCATTTTTGGAACTTGTGAAACATTCACAGCATCTTTACTATCTGTCCCGTCTATCAAATTGCTAAGTTTCTGTTTCTTAGCATTCCAAACACCATTCTCTGATTCTAAAAATTCATAATTATTATCATCTTGTACAAATTTACCATATTCTTTTCGTATTAAAGTCTGTTGTAAAGTGGGCACATCATTTAAACTTTCACCCTTTTCTACATTAGTAATTTTCTGTTTCTTAGCATTCCAAACACCATTCTCTGATTCTAAAATTTCATAATTTTTATTGTCTTGTACAAATGTACCACCATCTGTTCGTATTAAAGTCTGTTGTAAAGTGGGCACATCATCTAAACTTTTACCCTTTTCCACATTAGTAATTTTCTGTTTTTTAGCATTCCACTTTTTAGTCTTGGATTCTAAAAACTCATATTTAGTTTTACCTTGTAAAAAGACATCACCTTTTCTAGTTAATGTCTGTCCTAAAGTTGATACATCATCTACAAACTCCCCATCTTTAACATTACCAATTTTACGGTTTAAACAATTCCAACTATCATCTTGTAAATTTAAAGTAGGTTCACTACTAGCCCTGGGTTCTGCAGGCTTATTATATGGATTATATAAACGATAAAATTTATCTATAAACATATTTTTATTTAATAAATAATTTCACTTTCTCTCAATTCCTCAATAATGGAATCTATTTCATTATCCACTCCTGAGTTACCGGCTTGGCGACTTAGCCAAAGAAGTCTTAACCTATCTACAAGCTCATTAGGATCATCCCAATAAATATAGTCTATTTTATTACCAGTCACTTGTCTTAAACCTTCACCAACAGATTTAAATAGAGGTTTAATTATATTAAGATATTTAGTATGTCTATTACTTGAAATTGGTGCACCATCTTTGTAACTCTTTAAATGTCCATTTGTAGCTTCCAAAATCTCTTTATAATTTTGCAAATCAGCCTGAGTATAGTTCTCAGGTTCTTTTAACGTTAACAATTCCCATAAACCTTTTGTCCCCTTGTAGGTTTTATTTGCAACTGTAACATCATCATTGGCAATATCAACTTCCTTATTTCCAATAAAAAATTTATTTGCTTCTCGTCTAATACCATATGTAGTGTCTGTCATACTACTTTTACTGAGGTAATTTCCTAAATAGTCTGATGCTAAAAGACCAAAATCTAATTTCTGTGGGGTGGATGGTTGAAATCTTGGTATCATTGATATTCTAGATGGAGTCATTGGGAGTATCTCCATTCGAGGCCTCTCTGATGTGATTTTCTTTAATTCTTGTAATGGCTCTATTAAAGGTTGGAATGTTTGGAACCTCTCTTCAGCCTCTAGAAACTTGCCACGTTTTAAAGCTCTATATTTCTCTCGTATTTGATTTGCAGAGTCAACCAATTCTTGTTGAATGTTTTTCATCTTTTATTTACATTTTATTTATCTCATTTGACAAAGGATTGTACTCAAACACTTTATCATGTATTATCAAACAATATGCAGATGTATTTGCTGGTACATTTTCTGCAGTTTCAATCTCTAATTTAATATCAACAATTCCTTCCTTCACTGTTTCATTCTGTCTAGAACAGTCTATTACAATTAGTGGATATTTCTTCATAAACTCAGCCCTACTAATCATAGGATCTGGGATAGTATTATAGTAAGTCTCTCTAAACCTCATAAACATCTCATAAGCTTTAGAGACATCTCCATTTTCAAAGTCGAGATTTAAATCACTATAAGGATAATATTCAGAGTTTAAAAATACTTTGAGATTTTTTAATTTACAGTGATCAAATTCATCAGTTCTTTTTCGTGCACTATTATCCCTAGCTGTTTGGAAACCAAATATAATATACCTAGGCTTCTCCAAACTTGAAGACGTCTTTACTGACCATGTATGTCTTGTGGTATTGGGATATGATGGAAGTTCATGCAGCTCTAAGCTTCTAAATGCAATTTGCAAATTTTTATTTTGCAATAACATCTTTTGTAATTGTAACTTCTCTCCATCTGATGGTATCACATGTGGCATCACCCATTGAATTGAGTTAAGTGTAATTTTAGGAATCAAATCAGCAGTGCCACTGGCTGGAGCACTAGCGGTTGTTAATATACAATTCAAATCATTTTTGGATCTTTTCAACACCAATTCTTGTTTGACATTTACTAATACCTTATTAAAATCCTCGAATACACCCATTAACAGCTCTAATGGCAAACATGTACTAAACTTGCCACCTTTATGGAACTCTTTTAAATTCGTGTCAGAATCAAATGCTACATTTGTTAATTTAGTTGTTTTATTGTAAGAGCTCAATATTTTCATAAGACTAGAAATTCCTGGGTTTCTTACAATGTCTATTTCCTTACCTGCAACTTCGTATCTAATTTCATCAAATAAGAACGCAAATGCATTATTTATAAAATGACCTTTATCATGATTTTCAATTTCTCCCTTAATATACAAGTAGATATAATACCAGAATATGACCCCACTTTCGGCGTTTTAGAGGCACTTTTAGGGCACTTTTTATAGGGGAAAAATGAGAAAAAAATGGAAGAGCTTTTTTTGGCCACTTTTTTTAAAGACCCAGCTCTCGACCTATACACCCCTATATAAATTTTCAACTTTTGTTAATACTAAAAATCACGTCTGGAAATGGTGAGCTTTTTTTGGCCACTTTTTTAAAGACCCGGATCTCGTCCAATACAAGCCCATACAAATGTTCAAACTCCATTAAAATTTCAAATCCACATCCATTCCCATGTATATTTTCAAAATCATATGAGGTTTGTGTGTTCGGCTCATGACGTGCTCCCTTGGACATCCTTAGTGGAAATCCATGAGTTCTGGCTACTTGGGAACCCAAGCCATTTGACATACAACGAATCACCCTTTCTCCTAATTACCTTCTCTACCAAATACATGTCCTTATACTTGGTCTTTAACAACTCCTCTGTATAGAAGCCTCCCCTGATTATATTGCCATTTTCATCTTTCAAGATATAAGTCACAGGCTTTGTATTCTTAACTTCTGCTATTGTAAATAGTTCCCCTGTCCAATTTGGAGTATAACCTTTACTAAAAACATGTTTATACTTGGAAATCCTTACGCTATCACCTACCTTATATCTTGGCTTTTTAACTTGCACTACTTTAGAAGTCAACCTCTCATGCACATATTTACTATTCTTAACATTCACTTGGTTAGGCTTCATTCCTATAGATCTATGCACTTTATTATTATATTTTCGAATTAACTTTGGAAGTAAATCCAACCATTTATAACTCCCCTGAGCACTAAATTCTCTATATAACCAATTCTTTAAAGTTCTCTGAAACCTCTCCACAATTGCAGCCTTAGTTGTAGAAAATGTGTGATA